AGATATAGCATACAATTAATCATATTAACATGAGATTGGGGTTTAGATCTTACCTTGATTGTTATGTAGCAATAACAATCTCAAATCCTCCTTTGTAATGGCTTTAGAAAGCTTAGAGTCACAAGTGTCACTCTTCTAATGGATCACAAACACCAAGAGCAAGAGGATGAAGAATGATATGAAAGGAGGCACCCAAAAACGTGTAGAAGCCCTAAGGAAACTCTTCACCACGTTTTTGGTGCTCTAGGGATCCTTAAATAGTGAGGCTATTAGGGTTATCTAACAAGGAAACCCTAATTTGACTGCTTAGGCCATAAGCAACCCATGGACTCCCTCCTTAGAGGCCTTGGATGATTTCTAATGGGTTTCCCCATAGAATTCGTCCACCCCTCTAATATGGAGTCCATTAGCCCAATATTCAACTATCATACAATTGATAGTTCTAGTCCCTTAAATTGAATTAATGTCTTTTAGCCACAAAATTAATTCTTATTAATTATTGACTAATATTAATTAAACAATATGATTTTCCTTTAATATATTATTCTCATAATATATTATTAAATCATAATTACTCCTCTCTCTCCATAATTCATCCTATCAAGTTGCTTTGATGAAGGCAACCCAAAAGGACCATGCACCATCGGGTCAAGTACATACAAAAAATAGGTATGGACTTAGACACTAATCCAACAAGTATGACCATCTTCCTTAGTTGTTTTTTAATCTTATGATCTTGTGAATTGCAAACTTGTAGGACTAGAGTAAGTATTGAACAAATCCTAGGGTAAAGTAGAAAACGGGTAAAAAGGTATCGGATCTAATATATGAAGAAAAATCATATATTGAATTGAATTAATAAACTAAATTGATCAATCTATTATAAGTCTAACTAACTCGAACCGAACACTAGTAAACTTGTTATTTTGTCTGCTTGATCACCAAAATAAATAAGCTAGTTTGCTAAAGGATTAAGTTAGTGAATACTAATTTGGTCATCTTAGGAATCGGTAACCAAAGAAACTAAAACCCATTGCACTTCCATAAATCAACCATAATAACAAATAAATCTGAAGCTAAACGAAAGTCTCTTATTTACCTTGGTTAAATATTCTTTGTTTTATTTGCTTTAGTATTACTGTTAGCTTATTGAGTTGATAGTTAGTTAGTTGGGCAATTTAAGTTTCTAGTCTTCAAAAACTAGAAAAAAATCCTTTCTAATTTTATTATTAGTTAGTTAGTAGTAGATAAGAATTAGCTAAAACACCGTTCCTTGAGTTCGACACTTATTCTTACCATTGCTATATTATTAGGCGATTAGGTACACTACCTAGTGTATTTAATAGTCTAATGAAATAAAAATAGTTTTATAAATTTCAAACTTGAATAAATAAATACAGACTAAAATGCACATCACATCATCATTGACTATAAACGGAAGATCAGAAGAATATCTAAGCTATGTTAATTACAAGTATAAATCAAAGATGAATCGACTTTTTTTCTGATACTCTTGTTGATTTCAGGAAAAAGGTAGGAGGTTAAATTCTATGGATCCCCTTCATCTTATTCAACTGGGTTTAAATAATCCAAATCTTGAAACCCCCTTTAACCCCATTAACGAACTCAATCTAAGTGTGTGTGTGTGTGTGTGTGAGTGGATAATTATTTTAGTTATAAGGTATGTTGATGATGGAAGCTAGAGGTACTCATTAATGAAGGATTCACATCTTCTAATATTAGTGATTAGGTATTAATATTGAGAGACTCAAGCTTTATCTCCTCAAAGGCTCGGTATGTGTGTAAAAGATGAATCTTGTAGAAGAACGATGATAACATTGGCATTGTAGATCTAAATGATGGTGGGTGGAAACCCAGGTATAATGGTTTGGCTTGGTAGCTTTGACTGCGATAATTTGATGTTTATTTTGACTCTCTTCATTTTACTTAATTGAATTGAAGAACATGTAAAGAATATTAGAGAGAAAGAGAGAGGATCGTCTGAATATCCTAACTCCTGCATAAAAGCAATGAATCCAACGATTAAGGAGTTATAAACTGGTGATAGTGTTGTTGATCAGTGGTGGTGGTGGTGGTATTAGCCAGGAGTAAAATCAGAATCATAGGTGTGACACCTAGTCTCAAGATGTTTCTAATTTTAGGATAACGGGCCCTAATTTGATTGAGTAAAGGTATCTGACTTCAATGGAATAGAGTTTAGACTTTATTGGATGTTGATAATGTTGATTAAGCGACTTAAGCCCTCGAATTGTGCTTTAGAACCAAAGGGTAAAATCGAAAAAGTGATATTCGAGATTCTCACATGAATTAATGGATTTTGTTCGACATGTCATAAGCCAAGAATAAGTCGATATAATTGTTGGACTTGTCAATACCTTCGAGTGCATATAAAGATCACAGAAAATGGAGTTAGAATGAAAAAATTATGATCGTTTGAAGATGAAGCTGAAAACCATAAAAGCATGAATTTATCAGAAAGTGTTGGGCGCCATGACCCACCAGGCTATGCATTTTTTTAGGGTTTTGGGGTATTTAAAAGACATTAACCATGAAGGGGTCATCATTTCCCGCCTCTACCTCCCCTAGAACGCCTCTAATGAAACCCCAACCATGATTAAAGTGTTTGGAACTCATCATCTCTCCTAAATCTATTTAGGTACTGTCTTAATGTCCATTTGGTGCTTTCTTTTGGTGGTATGCTATTGGATTAAGGTGTATAAGATCATAACTAAATTGGTATAAACTTGAAAATAGAAGCAGAGTATATTTTTGGTTTCCCTCATAACAAAAAATAAATAAAAATGATATTAGGAGATAAAGAGAGATAAATATTTTGTAAATATATTATGTGATTAATATATTAATTGGAAATAGATAATTCATTTGTTAATAAATTAACATGAGATCAATACGTAATTAATTTATTTGTTAATTTATATGGTTAAAAAATTAATAAGAAATCAAATAGAATTAATTAATTATTAATCAGAATTAATCAAGAATTATTTTAGGATTAATTGGAATTAATTAAAGGTGAAAGGGGTGAATTATAATTGTTCGATATTTGAACAAAAGCAGGCAACTCTAGAACCATCCAAGGGTGGACGGTTTTGGAGACTCTTCTAGGGTTTTTGGAAGCCTCTTGGATGCACGTAAGGAAAAGATTTGAAATGAGATTAAATCTATTATTTAATTAATTCAAATCTGGCATAGTTTGTATGTTACCTAAACTATAAATAGGACCCTAAAACCATCTAATTTTGTAGAATCTAAGAATCGAGTTTGAATATTAATCAGAGTTTGAAAATCAGAAATGTATGAAAGATTGAACACCAATGTAAATAAGATCTTGATTCAGCTCAATATTACGCTTTAGGTTTACAGAGTGCAAAAATAGACAAGACTGTAAAAATCTCATCTAACTCTAGTAAAGACTCATATTTATAGGAGAGTAAAAGCGTACAAAAAATATACTAAGGACTAGACACCTAAACTTCGAATAATGTGCCTTAGTAAAATAGATAACAGATCATACGAAGAGTACATATAAGACTTCGACTCATTACAACCAAACTACCCTTACATTCTCTCCCTTTGTAAACAGAGTTGAAGACTTCAGTTTGTAAGTAGTTGAATGGAGTACAACATTACTCTTCGTATCTCGGTATACCAAGAGATAATCTTCTTCAGTTCCTTATTGTCTCCTTCGTTATTCTTCTTGCAATGATTCATATCGTATATTGCGAAGTAGAATATCTTTCAACTTCACCCGCCTGGAACAAAAATCTTTTTGATTTTCCTGACTTGTCCTTCCCAGAGAAGACTAAGCCAAAAGGCTTCAAGCATATTTCACCATCTGCATATTTCTTTAAGTCTACTTGAGTCTTCAAAGGAGCAATAGGTGCTGTAATTTACAGACCTTTAGTTGTAGCCAACTCCACATTAGTCATTGCTAAACATTCATAATATTTTCAATAAAAATCTTGATGTGAGTAACTCCCAGCTTGTACTCATCAGGCTCTGTGTTTTGAAGATATGACAATGACCTTTCTTTCAGTAGTAATGCAACTTGTATAAGATCATACAAGTTCATCAAATGAAAGTCTGCAATTATAAACTCGCACACATTATCATTTTCCCTGGTCACAATATACTTCATGTTTTGGACTGTGTTTTTGAAAACCACATCCTTCTTTATACCTATGACCTTTTTAATCTTGATCAAGGACCATACTTCTTCTGCAGGCTTGGTAAGAACCTCGTGAAATCTTATCTTCATTTGAGTACCTTCATCCTTCTCCTTGAATTTACTTTTTGCTTTAAATTGAGGCATGATGAACATCATTTCGTTAATTGGAAAGTCCAATTGGCTTGCATCCGTATGCGTGACAATATAACTCTTTTTAGGCTTCTTCTCAAATGAATACATGTGATTGAATGCAACTTTGGCTTCAATTGTTTCATAATTGTAGTTCTTTGATGGATCACCCTTGTTCATGCAAGGAGGATCACTAGCCCTTTGAGTCATGATGCTTTGAATCATTCTCATCTTTTCCACTTCTGCCTCAGCCTCTGCCTTCTTATCTTCTTTATATTTTTCAATTAGTATTGATTTTCCCCTTGCCTTCGAAACAGATTCCTCCATCACTTCTTTTGCTTTCGTATCACTTCTACCAGTGTCAATAGATTTACCAATCCCAATTCCTTTCAAAATTGGTCTTGTGATTGGCACAGTTGTAACTATTGTTGAAAAGATAGGACCAACAGTTGCTATCACTAGTTTTGATGTTGGGATTTTAGAAGGATACACCTTTCCCACTACCTTCGCATCTTCGCTTCCAACCTTCGAACCTTCAATTTTCTTTTCTTCCCTTGCACCCATGTACTAGCAGGTGGGGCATCCATTGTGGGAAGAAGGCTAGATATTCTTGAAATAGGAGCCATCTATTGAAGAATTAAGGCTTCGAATTAGGAAAATTTCATGAAAGATCTTCAGAGGAGAGCAGAGAAGACGAAGCAGGTGTTGAAGATAAGGTTTTAAGCTCCTTTAACAACGTAAAAACCTCCATGAAATTCTTGTTCTCTGTTGTAGAAAGTTAAGCAATTTGAGGACTCAGACTTTCGTACAACTTAGCAAATTTAGTAACTGCATCACAAATGATATCCACCTTTTGATTCAGAGATGCAAATTCAGTACGAACATTTGCAATCTCTTTCTCTATATCTTGTCTAAGTTCTTGGAGTTTATAATTCACATCTTCTCTCACTTTCTTCACATCTTGAATAAACAAAACATATCTCTCCTTTGCAACCAACTTTAATTCCTTCATATCACCTTCAAATGTAGATTTCTGAGCATTGACCCTCATCTCATTATTCTGATCACAAAGATCAATTTTCTCTAGAAGACGAGACTCAGAATCATTGATCATTCCTGAAGCTTTCGAAGAAATCCTCCCTTCAACCATCTTTAGCATCCCATCCACTTCGAGACTGGTCACTAAATTTCCTCCCCCAAGATCAGACGGAGACTGAAGAATTGGATTGAGTTTTGTATTCAATATCTTGAACTGTTTCATTATCATGAGCATGTGATCTGGGAAGTCAGTCTCTTCTTCATCAAACTCTAGATTTTCAAAGGTTCCTCCAAAACCTTCTAACTCATGTTCAGTTTCCATGAAAGAAGAATCTTGAATTGGTGAAGTGGTGGTAGGTAGATCAGTGGATTGTGAAGAAAAAAGAGATGTGATTGGTTGTTTGATGATGTTTTCAAAGGTAGGAGAATCAGTTGTGGATGTAGTAGGAATGACAGGTGTGAGTTGTGAAGGTAATAAAACAATAGTATATGGGGTAACATCCGAAGGTTTACCATTGTCTCCAGTGTGCGAAGCATCCTCACCCATTGTGACATTTGCATCCATATCATATATGTTTACAAAAATGTCAGAAGTTCGTGCCTCCACAGAAATTGTCTTAGCAACCGAAACTGCGGGTGGTATTACATCAGTTGATGCAATATGAGAAGAATCTTTTTGAGGACCAGCTTCTGGCGTTTCTTGAATTGTTTCATTTTCATCAGTAGTAGACTCTGATGAAATAATCAACCTACTCTTTTTCTTCTTCTTCGATATGTGTTTGGCCGTATCATTTGCCCTTCCCTTCTTAGAAGATGGTGAAGCAGGGGCAGGCATATCACAAAAAATAACTCCTTGATGCGAAACCTGTGGTTTGCGAACGACATTCATTAGAGGTGATCGACTCTTATGTTTTGACTTCATCTTGATTCTTCGAAAAACACCAGTCTTCGAAGGAATGATTTCATTTTGAGTCAATAGGGTATCAGCAACAACAACTTCTGGTTGGATTGGCTCGGCCTCTGTAATTGGTACTTTCTTCGGACTCTTTGTTGATTTAGATTCTTTGACAGGTTTCTCAAAAGATTCAGCAGCAACCTTCTTCGAACGTTTAGTCTTCTTTTCTTCTTCTCTAGCCAAAAGAACCCTGGTTTCAACAAAAGTATCGATGGTTTGTAAGTATGTGATTAGAACTTTGTTGGTGGGATCAACTCTTTTCAGAATATCATCAAGAATGCGAGCAACAATTGGAAATTCTTCAGTATCATCAGTTGCATCCTTCGGACAAGTATAAACATGAAACACAACCTTTTCTTCATCTGCTGGAAACAAAATCCCTTCCTTCTCATAAAATATTGTACAATCAAACTCCAATATCGAGCACATGAAATGCCATGAAGAGCATTCGTGTTCTCAATACTCTTCAAGAACTCTTTCCATAATTGAGTAGAGTAATCAACTTGAAGATCATAGTATAAGCCTGCAACCATCGCATAAACTTCCATCCTCCCCTTGTCTAACCCAACAGTTCTTTTAGTCAAACATCTGAGAAATAGTGGTCAAGAATTAATATTTTTCCTGTGCATAAGGGACGGATGGCATGACTATAACTTATATAATTTTCAGTTATTGTTTACTAAATAAATAATGTTTGTTACACCATTATAATATCTTACAATTAAGAAACGATCAAGAATTCTTTTTTTGTGAAATATGAATTTTATGAAATCTGAATTTTTTATTGAATCTAAATTTTATGAAATCTGAATTTTAAGAAACAATCAAGAATTCTTCAACTATTGTTTACTAAATAAATAATGGCTTGATTAAGAAACAATCACTGTGTATTGCTCTAATTTTATAAAATCTAGACTTTTTTTTGTTTATTGCTCTAATTTTATGAAATCTGAATTTGTTTATGAAATCTCGTGTTTAGATGTGCTATTGTTATAAAATATGAATTGGTTTATGAATAAAATATTAATCAGAATTCTTTTTTTTTTTGTGTGTATAATCTATGAAATCAGAATCCAATTGTAATGAAATTCTTTTTTTTTTGTATAGTTGTGCTATTTTTATTTAGCATGATGTTGATTTCGGTAGAAAGTTGTTATTTATATTTTAGGATCTTGGTTTGGAATGAGAGTAAGTATAAAACCTTTCTTGATGCTTGTATCCACAAACTAACTACTAATGGTCATGAGAGTTCTGAGTTTAAGGCAAGTTCATGGAAGACAATACGCGAAAAATTGATAAACGAGCATGATCAAGAGGTTGATCAGAAGCAAATGAGAAACCACTTTGACTACTTCAAATCAAAATATGTTGCTTGGGTGAAACTGAAAAACAAAACCGTCAATATATATGATCCTATAAAAAAATAAATTTAATCTGACCAATGAACAATGAAAGGAAGAGGGAAAGGTAATATTTTTATAACAAATACTATTATGATTATTTTAAAAAAAATACTAATATTTATAAAAATTATAAATAGTTGAACAAGTACGTGTTGTCACTGAAAACTAAACCCCTGCTGTTTCGTGATCTTTGCACCCAACTATTTTAAGGGTCGACCTCAACCAGCTTTCAAAGTTGGGGGTTATCTTCTACACTCCTTCATGTGGAAGAGTTTAGTGCCCATGATTTTGATGATGATGTTCCAATTGAAACCCCAACACAATACGTACGTCCAAGTGAAGAGTCTTCAAAGCATTCAAAAAATACGAAAGTTGGTGGAAACAAAAGAGTTTGTGAGAAAAAAAGAGATGCAAGGGCATTAGAATTTGAAGAAGAGATTGTCAAGCTTGCAAGGTCGTTAGTGGAAAAAATGAAAGAATTGAAAAAAGTGAAATTGATAAGGATGTTGATGCGTGTATGGAGAAATTAAACAAAATAGAATAGGGAGAAGAAGATGAAAGACACAAGACCGCTCTTTTGTTATTTGGTGAAAGTGCTGATGTTCGAAAAGTTTGGTTACGACTTTCGCATACTAGTTGTGAGTCGTGGGTGATGGGTGGGGGTAGGAAGTATGGTTACCTTTGATGGGTGCAGGTAGAAAAGTTTGGTTACTAGTTTTTTGGATCCCGTGTTTGATGACTTTTTTGGATGATGTTTACTAGTTTTTGTTACTAGTTTGGATGATATGTTATTTCAGATGATGTTTACTAGTTTTTTGTTACTAGTTTGGATGATATGTTATTGGATATTGAATATGACTTTTGTTATATGACGTTTCTTATATGACTTTTGTTACTTTGGTGCATGATTTTTTTTTTTTTACTTTAACATGTTACATAATTGTTTGTAACAGGTCAAGTATGGTTTCTGATGGTGAAGTTGTAGCTTTTCTTTTATTTGTGTTTTATTGGTTGAGGTCAAATCGGCGCAGACTAATCAGAATTCATAGAATTAGAGATAACGATTCAAGTGGATATGCGTATACGCAAGATTTAATGTACATAGACCCTACTCAATGTTTCAATATGATGTGTCTTACATAAGAGGCATTTGAATTATTATGCAGCCATTTTACCCAAAAAAAATTGGTTGCAAGCTAGTAGGACAATAAGAATTGAAGAGAAGATGACTATGTTCTTACATGTTATAGGACATAATGAATATTTTCGTGCAGTTAAGGGAATATTTCATCACTCCACACAAATGATTCGTCAATGTTTTCACAAGGTCCTATCTGCAATGATGTGTTTTGCAAAAGAAATTATAGTACCAACAACTCCTAATCCAACAAGACATAACTCGGAATGACATATACGGTTAAAAAATATTTTTTTCGGAGCAATAGGTGCATTAGATGGAACTCTTGTACATGCAGTTGTACCCGTTGATCAACAAACTCATTATGGGGGAAGAGGAAAAGGAGAATATTTTCAAAATGTAATAGGAATTTGTGATTTTGATATGATATTCACCTTTGTTTTGGCTGGATGGGAGGGTATAGCACATGATTCAAGAGTTTTGAAAGAAGTTGCATTCAATTCGACTTCTGGATTTCCATTTCCTCCACCAGATTTGTAATCTTTATATAATTTTTATCATCTATCTTCTTTATATAATATGTGTCACACTCATTTGCAGATAAACATTATATTTGTGATGTCTCTTATACAAACACTCGTGCATTTATGGCTCCATACCGCAATACTAGGTATTAGTTAGCCAATTTTCGAAGAGGCGAACCATTAACTAGAGAAGAAAGGTTCAATTATGCTCATGCACAACTTAGAAATGTTATTGAGCGTGCTTATGGTGTATTGAAGGCGAGATTCCCAATCTTAAAACAAATGGCTCCTTATCCTTTTACAGTGCTAAGAGACATAGTCAATGCTTGTGTCGCGGTCCATAATTTTATAAAGAAATACAATATTGAAGATGACTTGTTTACAAATTTTGAGGAGGACACTATGGTTACTCCTGACGTCCAAGGTGGGGGAATTGATAGAGAAAATATACAAGGCATAGAATAGGGTCCAGAAGTCGTTGAATATAAGCATGTTTTGCGTGATCAGATTGCAAATCAACTTCTTTCACCTACTTTACATTAAATTATTACGTTATTTTAAATTTCATTATGTTTTTATTTGGATATTAAATGATTTATGTTTAATTTACATTTTGTATGACATTTTTTGTTTATGTGTAATTTACATTTTGTATGACAATATGTATGCTTTTATAATTATTCAACAACTTAATCCATCACTATATATAATAGCAGGGTAAAATGGTCAATTTTTATTACTCAGCACATTCAGTCAGATGTACAATCAAACAACAAGATTTCTTACTCAGTCAGGATTTCTTACCCAGACAGACATTTTCCAGTCATTACTTTCTCAGTCAGCAACTATCAAACGGGGCCAAAGTGTGTATAGAACAACATTATATAGAATTAGATGACATATATATATATATATATATATATATATATATATATAGATAGATAGATAGATAGAGAGAGAGAGAGAAAGAAAGAAAGAGAGAGGAAAGAGAGATAAGATCATATGATGACTCTTTTTTTCCGTGAGTACTCGTAAGAACACCTTAAAAAATTTACAAACAATATATAAAAAAGTACAAAACATAAAGTTGAGCATAATACTATATTAGAGAAAAAAAATTGATCATTAAAATTGAAGCATGGATCATTTTTAGGATCCATGATTCACTTTTTATAACCCATGATTCAATTTTAATGTTTTAAAAAAAAAATTCTAATTTTTTTCCTCTCCGTTATAATACTATGTTCGGTTTTATGATTTTTTATTTTTTTAGATTTTTTAAAGTTGTCATCACAAGTTCTCACCGAAAAAAGAGTTTTCACCGAAATCAAACCATATATATATATATATATATATATATATATATATATATATATATATATATATATATATATATATATATATATATATATATATATATATATATATATATATATATACTATCTTATAAAACAAATCTCATTATTTCTAAACATAGATTGAATAAAATAATAATATTTTTTTAAGACGTCCAAATCATTAAGCTAATTGTACAACTAATCACTGATAAAATAATATTAAAATTTAAACAAACTCCTATAAATCTTCTCTTCCAAGGTTTTGATCAGATCTTTTTTCATCCAAATAAATACTCAACACCCTATAATTTGGTCATTTCTTGAATTTTCTTTATTTTTAATATAACATGTTTCCTAAAACAAACTAATAATTGAATTGAAAATAATCATTCTCTATCGAAAAGAAATTAATTGTCGAAACAAATTATTTGTCGCCCACCGTTTTGCGCGGATAAACGGCTACTATATATATATATATATATATATATATATATATATATATATATATATATATATATATATATATATATATATATATATATTTAGAATATTTCACGTATTTTAAAAAAAAATATAGATTTTTTTTTTATTTTTTTTAGTTAATTCAAGTTCCGAAAATAATATTTAAAAAAAGAATTTTTAGATTTTTCTATTTATTTTGCATTTTAAAATTATTTTTTAGAATATATCAGTGTAATATTCTATTTAGAATATTTCACGTATTTTTAAAAAAAAAACGGAATTTTTTTTATTTTTATTTTTTATTTTTTATATTTTTTTATTTTTTTTTAGTTAATTCAAGTTCCGAAAATAATATTTAACAAAAAGAATTTTTGGATTTTTCCATTTATTTTGCATTTTAAAATTATTTTTAGATTTGGTCTCACGGTCTCACAAAATTAGATTGGTCTCAAATGAACCCGATATATATATATATATATATATATATATATATATATATATATATATATTTGAACTGTTGTAGTTTTATAGTTAAAACCACTAACCGTAAAACGTGATGCTATTTAACAGAATCACAAACCACAACACGTACCACGAACTTTTTAAAACCACGTTATGCGGTGCGGTACGGACCATTTATATGGTTTATGCACACCCCTACATTAAATATTTACTATAATAATGGTACGAGAAAAATATAGAACATTGTTCTTTGCATTAAATTAAATGGGTTATAAATAAATCTTGTTAAAGGGAAGGTGTACGCATTAGAGTTAGCTGTCGACCAAGAGAGATTTATTTGAAGTTGAGGTAACATGTTGGATAATTTTAAGTGATGGTAGACTGGAAGAAACGTGTAATTTGGCAAACTTATGTTACGAACTTTGAATTTCACCTTAGTTTTATACTTTTATTATTATTATTATTTTCTTTTCGCTTTTTAAAGCTCAACCATATAATTATCATTCATTATCTTTGTTCCTTAAGTCTCTCTCTCTCTCTCTCTCTCTCTCTCTCTCTCTCTCTCTCTCTCTCTCTCTCTGCTGCAAACATCAAGTTCAAAGAAACTCAACTCCATTTGAGAATCAGAAAGAGACGGGAAGACCCTACAAGTGAAGAAAGATCAAGAAGACTAGAGAGGGCGTGTGTTTTTTCCAGGTTTATGTGTGTGAATCGGTCTGTGTATTTATATTTGATCACCTGTGGTCATGGATGGTAGTACATATGATCATTTCCACCACAGACCTAACTTTCCCTTCCAACTTCTTGAAAAGAAAGACGACGAAGTTTGTTCCTCCTCCGCCACTGATGCATACCCATCTCTTGCAATCGCTACCGACACTAATAAGACTAACCTAAATCCTATGGTTCGATGCAACGCCTCCACTCTCCTAACCTCAACCGCCGCCGCTACCTCATCCACAGAGCTTTCAAAGAAACAACTCCCTAAGAGAACTTCAACCAAAGATCGACATACAAAGGTTGACGGCCGTGGCCGTCGCATCCGTATGCCAGCGCTTTGCGCCGCCAGGGTTTTTCAACTTACTCGGGAACTAGGACACAAGTCTGACGGAGAAACCGTCGAGTGGCTACTTCAACAAGCCGAGCCTGCTGTCATAGCAGCGACCGGCACAGGCACCATTCCGGCGAACTTCACTTCACTCAATATCTCCCTCCGAAGCTCCGGGTCCAGTATGTCGGTTCCTTCTCAGCTCCGATCCACTTATTTCAACCCTAATTTTACTCTCCCACAAAGAAGAAATCTTTTTCCGGGAATTGGACCAGATAGTCCATCGTCAAACCTTTTGAATTTTGGGTCCACGACCATTCTAAATCAGATTATACAAGCAAAAGAAGAATTAAGAGATAATTCAGTGGAGTTATCAGAGTCGCCGGAGGAGGGTATGGGAAGGAAGCGTAGACAGCCCACGGAGCAGGATTTATCGTCGCTCCACCAGCAACAGATGGGAAATTATCTACTTCAGTCAAACTCGGGAGCTTTGGCGGCTAGTCATACATCAATACCTACAAATTTTTGGATGGTCGCTAATCCTAACCAACAGCAAGCCATGGGTGGCGACCCAGCTGTATGGACTTTTCCAAACGTCAATAACAGCACCTTATACAGAGGCACCGTTTCTAGTGGGCTGCATTTCATGAACTTTCCGACGCCGTTGGCGCTTTTGCCAAGTCAGCAACCGGGGATTAGCGGTGGCAGTGGTGGTGTAGGCGGAGGTGGTTACAGTGAAGGACAACTGAACATGCTTGCTGGGTTAAACTCATACCGGCCTATATACGGTCACGGGGCATCTGAACAGCAACAGAATGGCTCTCATGACGGAGGCCGTGGTGGAGATGATCGGCATGACACGACCAGCCACCACTCGTAGCTGACTCCCGCCACCGGTGGTTAATATTGCGTTATTTATTTGATATGCAAACACTAAACACACGTGAGATTTGATTTGTTCCTCAATTTTGGAAATTTAATTTTTGGTAAAATTTTAATTTCATTTTGTGTGACGAAAATTACAAACGTATTAGGATTTTGATGAAGGGGTAGAGAATGACATTGTTTACACGATGTACTATCATGGTATTATATTATTTATTTTATTTAGTTGTTTTTATTTTTATTTTTTTTATTTATTTTTAATTTTATTTTTGATACAAAAAGCTAACTAATCTATTTTTAAATAAACATACATGTCTTCATCAAAACTTGAACTTATAATCTCTTATGAGAGTCACTTGCACTTCTCGTCCGATCTTTAATTCCTTATATTTAGATTTTACAATTTTGGTCCATGTAGAATATAAAATTAATAATATTCCATTTCAAGTTTCTTTTCTCTAGTTCTTTAATAGATTGTTAATTAAAACATAAGAAATAAAAAACTAAACCCTATCCATTAGCTAACCGTTCCTGTCTCCACCCAGTAGATACTCTCACCACCACCACTACAACAACATACCTTATATCACCACTACCCACAAGCAATATTGGGTTCTTAGAAATAGTCTAGATTTATACACTCGAGAGCTATTTCAACATGATTAAGAATATATGAGTTTGCAAAACAAATATTAAAACAACATTAGATAGAATATCTAAGAAGCTAAAGTAAACACTTCACATTGAAATGTTGATTACAATGAAGCCCAAACTAACTGATATAAGTTTCCAAATATCAAATAGAAGCTAATCTAGAAAAAAAAATTATAAATATTAAACAGAAAGTCCAACCATGGCTTTAAATCTATGTATAATAATTCTCTATAAAAAGACCCCAAGCTAATAAAAACAGATACACAAACTATTAATATATGTTGGTGTTTAAGTTATCTTTGTTTTTCCCACATAAAAGAGAGTCTAGAAGTTTTTTAATGTAACATCCCAAAAATTACAACAAATATAACCTACTCAGAACAACCTATTTACTAAAAGAAGTGTTTACAAAATCATTGTTTCCAAAACATTATTTAAAATTAGAGTCTGCCAAGATAAAAAAACATATGAATCGGGATGTATACAATCACGCCTTCGCCTTGCCACGGTCCTCTGAAGTACCTGAAAGCATAAACCAAAACTATAAGCATGAAGCTTAGTGAATTCCTCTAAAGTACTAACACATAAACATATAATATATACAACAACATGTCGGGTCCAATCAACCATCGGGTTGGAATACCCCAGGCCCAACCATCATCTGAGTCCAGTCGTCCTCGGGATAGAATACCCTACGTGGAATCCCAATATACAATGGGTTCAGTCAACCATCGGGTTGGAATACCCCAGTCCCAATCAACCATCGGTTTAGAATTCCACTATACTATAGGTCCAGTCAAGCATCGGGTTGGAATACCCCAGGCCCAATCAACCATCGGGTTTGAATGCCAATATACTATGGGTCCATTCAACCACCGGGTTGGAATACCAATATACTATAGGTCCAATCAACCATCGGGTTGGAATACCCCATACCCAATCAACCTTTAGGTCTAATCATCCTCGGGATGAAATATCCCATGTTAGAATGCTCTCGGTCGTTGGCTCACGCACCAATTAACATATGCGCATATATAACAGATAAACATATAACCAATCAACAGGCGACAGGTAGATCTACATATCATTAAGAATAGCATCATCCTATATACCATGATACCCGTCTAACCGATCACTACAACACGATAACATCCTATCACATAACAGGATATCTAATCCAATGGGTCGGCCTTAGTGCCTTCGACCCATAAGTATTGTGGGGAAAAAATCACCTCTCGATCTGATCAGTAGTTGATGAGGTCTAGACTCTGAATCTCGGCTCAAACCGACATGTATTCATCCAAAATACCAAATTCTCAAACACCATCCAATAGACCAATTCTTAAACACCAACCAAAATACCCATTGGTCAAATTTGGTCAAAGTCACAGTCAAAATGAGAGTCAACTGAGTCAACCCAGTCGGGTCAACCTAGCTGAGTCAACTTAGTCGAGTTGACACGTATATGGGCGTACTCCAAAATTATACCGGGTGTACCTAACCCTTGACTTCAAACAGGATGTTTAACCTCGTACGCCCTGCGTACTCCAGGTACGCAGGGCGTACGCCCAGACCACTTAAATCTATATTAAGAGCTTAATGCCTTAAGCTCTTATGTCCTATTTCCAGATCCAAGGCTAAATCATCCTTAAGAGTCATAAAGTTTCCAACTTTATCACATTGCATGTCAATTAAGTGCTTAACTCAACATCTTAATACATTAAGGCCTTCTAAAGAATACATGGAGCAAAACAAACATATAAGACCCCATTTTTATGACTCAAGGCCCTTCATAAGGTCTGAAAGGACGACTTAATGGGTCAAGAACATGCAATACTCAAGAATCACCATTTTGGGACCAAAAAGTAACTTAAAAGATGAGAAAATATAGATTTACAAGATGGAGTGCTAAAGTTGCAATCTTTATACCTTCAAGAGGCTGCAAACAAGGTAGAAATCCCAGATCCAAAATGCTCTCAACTCCAATATCTTCTCACCATCTTCTTCTTTATTCAAAACCACTTCAAAACTCTCTAAAGGCTCTAAAAATGCACTATTTCTCTTAGGGATTGTTTAAAGATCGATTCCACAAAAAGAGGTTGAATTAGAATGAGATGTGAGTCTATAATGATGCTTAAATATAAGCCAAAACCCTAAAAAAATAGGGTTTGTATGAACCTGACGTACGTCATGCGTACGACGTGTGCGTCCAGCATACTAAGGTGTGTCTGTTATAGTAGGTGTCTAAGCCCATAACTATAATTGGTATATACTTTAATTGATAGTAGCACAATCCTTTTAGGTTACCCTCATAAATAGCAACTACACAAGATGACTTTTGGAGAGAAAGGTAGAATTTATTATTTAATTAATAAACTTAAATAAATAATTTGTTAATATATTATGAGAATAATATAATAATTAGAAATAGTAATATTTAATCAAAAATTAATTGGAATTAGTTTCAGGATTAAAAAAATTAATTAAAAGTGAAAGGACTAAAGTGCAATTGCTCAATAGTTGAACAATAGATTTCAGAACGTTTCTAGGGAAGGTGGTGGATGGAATTCCTAAGGATAATTAGGGTTTCTAGATTACCCCATGTGGATAATTAAGGAGGTGGATAATTACCTATTTGAATTAGTAATATTTTATTTAAATTAGGGTTATCGAGTGTATCCTATATGCACTATAAATATGCCCTTAAGCCTTAGAATTTTCAGCCATCTATAACCCTAGAAGAATAGCTTAATTTCTAGAGCTCCTCATCCTCTCTCTTCTCTTATCCTCTTGCTTAGCTTGGGTGTGATCTACTAGAGGCGTGACCCTTGTGACGCTTGCTATCAAGGTTCAAGAAGACTTGGATTTTTCATTGTTATTACTACATAACAACCAAAGGTATGTTTACTAACCCTAGTTATGAATTTCTAAAATAATATATATCTCCTAGGGTTTTCCATTTGATGTTTAAAGTTGTATGTTCAATTAGAGAAAATATAGATCCAAGAATTAGGGTTGCATACACACATTGGTTTTTATTTGTTATGCTCAAAACTCATCAGTGGTTTCAGAGTCTTGACTTGTTTTCTATTGAATTTGATTGCATATGTTTGAATTTGATCAATTAGGGTTTATAGCAATTAAACCCTTTGGACTTAGGTTTTTTTCGAAATTAGGGTTTCCTAAGCTCTAGTTTGGAAATTTTTGAAAGGGTTTTAACCATTTCCCTTGTCCTACAAGTTTCGAATTTAGGGTTTCCTTAACCCTCTAGATTTTTTAAATATGGATAGGATTGAAATCCTTGCCTTCCTCCACAAGATTTTTCATAATTAGGATTTTGGTAGGGTTTCTTATTTTTTATAATTATCTCCTTATTTGATTAACTAGATAATTATAAAGTTTGATTTGTCCCTCCTATCTTTTTTCAAAATTTAGGGGATTTAGGTTAAATTATCTTGATTAATTTGATTGGTTAAACCTCATCTGATTTAAATAAATTAATTAAATGTTTAATTAAGATAATTATTAAATCATATGGTTTAACTTTTAAATTTAAGTTAAAAGTTTTGATTTTCGAAATTTAATAATTGAACCTAGTATTTTGAAATGTTTAAAATACACCTTATACTATGTGTAAAATTAAATGTTTAATATTTACTATATGTATAAGACAAGTCAGTCGAACCGTTAGTATACCTTATTCACCGAGCCTGTCTATAAGAATGGTATAATGAAACTGCCTATAAAATGATAATTGAATGGGTGTCCACTCTCACCCACCACTTCCTTAATTGGTGGACGTTCGTTAGTCGTACGGGTTTGATAGGAAAATTAATCCTCATTAATAAGTATAATGAAATTATAAATTAACTAAAATATTTTTCAAATTCCTAATCTTCATTACTTTAGGAAAGATGTGAATTTGATGCTAATCCATGAAACTGCTCATTGCACTTTATAAGTCGTTAGTAGAGCGTGTATGGTTAACCAGCACACTAATATGGACATGATAAAGAGTGGCAATGGGTGTCTCATAAATTATCATTGATTAATGGAGCGTGTGTGGCTGACCAGAACATAAAAATGAGATGATAAATGGCATCGATAGTACCAAGCTAATTTGCATGGTTATTCACATCTTGTTTGTGATCCTCGGTATCCAAGTCACAAATGGAAGAGCATAATCGAGATTAAACATGCCATTGAATAGTTCAATGAATCTCAAAAGATCTAGGAATTTCATTTAAAATCTAATTCGTTTAAATTTTGCTTTTCATGGTGAAATTGGTAAATCGTCATTTACCTACCTTTATTTATTTAACAATTAGATTACGGCATCCC